AAAAAATCTCTGCACTATCTCCTTTAATAGTTATTTTTATTGTACATATTTTTTACGTCTTCTCTGAGAGTACAATGGTATTCTAGTCACCTTTATTTTAGTGCCTATCACAATAAATTTATCTTTTGTTTTTTGTTTGTTTCTAAGATATGTTGAGATAAAAAGCAAACTTAATGCAACTTTTAAACTTGGAGGAAGGGATATATTTGGGTATATTCTAAATCTACGGTTCTTAACCTTCTGTGGATCACATACTTTATGAAAAAACTGATGAACGTTTTGACTCTATTCTCAGAAAAACACACACCTCCAAAACTCTGTGAACAAATTTAGTGGGATTTGCAAATGCCCTGAGGCCCCCTGATAGCTTACCAAAAACCCTATCTTTTTATTTTTATTTTCTTAATAAGAATTATATTGACATGCAGCAAAAATTTTTTAAAAAAGTACTAAAGCCTAGAGTGAACAGTCTCTCTCATACTCCTATCCCTCCATTATCCAATTAGTCTTCTATCAAAATGACCACTTTTTTGTGTATTCTTCTGGAGACAGTCTACACATATGCATGCAGAAGTATTAAGAAGTCTTTTTTTCTTACACTTACTTTTTTTCATTTATCTTGCAATTGGTCCACATCAGTACGTAAGATTTCAAATGCACAGAATTCTATTGTATTGCTGTACCCTAATTTTTTTATAATATATTTTTAGATTTTGAAACAATTTCAAGCTTACACAAAAGTTGCAAGCACAGTACAAATAATTTTTTTTTTCCTGAACCATCTGAAAGTTACTGACCTGATGTCTCATCATCCCTGGATACTTTTCTGCATATTTTCTACAAACAAAAACATTATCTTATAGACTATGGAGAAATTGAACTCTTGTACAATGCTAAAGGGAATGTAAAATGGTTCAGCCATTGTGAAAAATAGTTTGACAGTTTCTCAAAAAGTTAAAACATGGAATTAACACATGCAATTCTACTCCCAGGTATATACCCAAAAGAGTTGAAAATAGGTACTCAGACAAGTACATGTACACACATGTTCATAGCAGCAGTATTCCCATTAGCCAAAAGGTGGAAACAGCCCAAATGTTAAATGGATGAATGAATAAACAAATTGTGGTATATACACACAATAAAATAATGTTCAGCCATAAAAAAGGAATGAAATACTAATACATGTAACAACGTGGATGAGCCTCAAATGAAAAAGGCCAGACACGAAAGTTCATATACTGTATCATTCCATTTATATGAAATATCCAGAATAGATAAATCTATAGAGACAGAATGGTGATTGGTGGTTGAAAGATGGGGGCGGGGAGGAAGAAGGAAGGAGGAGAAACTGCTTAATGAGTAAGGAGTTTTACCTTGGAGTAATTGAAACATTTTGGAAGAAGATAGAGACGGTGGCTACAGAACATTTTAATGTACTAAATGTCACTAAATTGTTCACTTTAAAGTGGTTAATTTTATATTATGTGAATTTCACATCAATAAATTATTAAAAAAGATTTTCTTATATAGCTACAATGATCAAAATCAGAAAATTAAGATATTAAAACCATATCAAACCCCTTGCTGTCGAGTTGATTTCGACTCACAGAGACCTTCTCATACCCCGTTCAAATTTTATCAGTTGTCCCGGTAATGTTCTTTATGTTAGAAGAATCTAGTCCAGAACCATGTTTTACCTTAGCTGGCATGACTCTTTATTCTCTTTCAGTATGGTATAATTCAATCTTTTCTTGACTTTTATACTCATAACACATTTGAAGATTACAGGCTATGTATTTTGTAGAATGAATCTTAATTTGGTTGTCTGATGTTTCCGAATGATTGGATTCAGATTATGCATCTTTGGCAGGAATATTACAAAAGTGATGCTGTGTTCTAACTGCATCCTATCAGGTGGTGCGTAATTTCTGTTTGTCCCATTATGACGATGTTCATGTTGATCATTTGATCAATGTGAAGTCTGACAGGCTTCTCTACTGTAAATTTACTCCTTTTCCATTTGTAATTAATAAGTATTTTGCAGGATGTCTTTGAAAATATGTAAATATCTTATTCCTCATCAAGCATTCAATTTATTCATTTAAGTATATCACTACAGGCTCACAGTTTCTTGCTTTATTCAATGGGTTATAATCTGCTACTATCATTGTTTGTTTTGAGGCTCCAGTTGTCCCAGATTTGGCCAGTGGAAGCCTATTCAAGCTGGTTTCTGTATGTTCTTGACACGTCCCCATCATTCTTTAAGCCCTTCCTTACTTTCTGGCACAACAAGATGATCTAGGCTCAACTTGTACTTTTCCTTCCCCAGTGGTGGAATCAGTCATTTTTCCAAGGATCCCTGGTTCCTTTTAATGGAGAATGGTGTTTAGAAACCAAAGTCTGTGCACTAGGTGTCCTCATTGCTACTGGGGTGCCTCTGCTCCTAGGCCTTCTCAGTGGACAGAGCCAGGAAAAATATACCCACACACATGTACATACATACATATACATATACACACATATGCATACATATATACACATATATATACACCTATATTTATTTCTGTATCTCTGTAAGTCTAAAGCCATGAGTTTGCACTAATATTTCTAACTTTAATATGACACTATAAAGTTCATTCCACTTTTCTTCCTTTTCATATTTGTAAATCCCTTCTCTGACAATGAGAAACTGATTTCCATTATCCTTTGTATATCTACTTATTTGATCAATCCCTCTAAATGTAAGCAACCTCCCATTGTCAATGCTGCCTCCTCTGCTGCATGGAAACCCTTCATACTCCACTCAGGATCCAATACCCTGGTGCAGTTCCTTCCTTCCCGAAGTGAATGTCCTGCTCAACTTACCTGTGCTGACACCCTGCTGTGGGCCACTGACACCCCCACACCACCAAGCACAAATACCTACCTTGTTTTACTTTACCTATAGCTTTAGAACTGTGTTGTTCCAGAAAGAGAAAGGAAAGGAACACAAGGGTCCATAATTTCTTTAAGATGTCCCTTTAACCCACCCTTCTGCTATTACCAACAATATTGTAATGAATAAGGAACCTGGTGGTGCAGTGGTTAAAGCGCTTGGCTGCTAACTGAAAGGTCAGGGATTCAAATCCACCAGGCTCTCTGTGGGAGAAAAATATGGTAGCCTGCTTCCGTAAAGATTACAGCCTTAGAAACCACATAGGGCAGTTCTACTCTGTCATATAGGGTCAACAGGAGTCAGAATCGACTCAGTGGCAATGGGTTTGTTTGTTTGTTTTTTTTTTTTGGTTTATACATGGCTAGAGTCCCTGGGTGGTGCAAACAGTTAATGCACTTGGCTGCTAATGGAAAGGTTGGAATTTCTAATCTACCCAAAGGGCCTTGGAAGAAAGGCCTGGCAATCTACTTTTGAAAAGTCAGCCATTGAAAACCCTGTGGAGCACAGTTCTACTCTGAGACACATGGGGTCGTCATGAGTCGAAGTCGACTCAACAGCAACTGGGTTTTTTGAATACACGGTTAGTATATCTTTAGGATAAATTCCCAGAAGTGGAATTGCTGGGTCAGAGAGTATGCACATTTTTAATGTTGCTGGTTCTGCTATATTGCTTTCTACAGAAATTTAACAATGAACACATTCACTAGCATCACATGTGGTACCTGAAAGAACTCTTAAGAATGGTAATTGGCAACTGAATTGAATATACCATGTAAATCATCTAAAGTTACTTGATGACATTTGAGAAAATTAAGACAACTTATTTCTGTTTCGGAAATACATTTTTTTGTTAACACAAATCAAATTTCCTACTAATTGTTTCTTGGTAACAACAATGAAGCAAAACTGAGCTATCAGAAGCAAATTTAGGAACACAAAACACTGACCAAACAGATTGGGTAAAAAGTAGCTATAAGAACCCTCAGAAGCATAAAGAATCATAAACGGAATATGAGTTAGTGCCGTAGTGCTGCAGTTTACAAGGCAAAAAAATGATAACCCCGGAAAGCAGAATTACACAAACCAGCCAGGAAGTAATTTTCCTTCTACCAAATTTGCCAGATACTTGTCAAGTCAGATACTTGGCAGAAAACTGTTTTCCAGATCATGATCTCAAATTCTTTTTACAACCAAGCAGTGGTATCAGGATGCTTATTAGAGGATGCCCCTACGATTAACTAGGGTCAGCCCCAGGCAAAACTGGACAGACGCCACCCTAAGACCAGACTACAGAGTGAAATAACTTAGACCTGAGCTGTCCAATACCATAGCCATTAGCCGTATGTAGTAGCTATTTACATTTAAATTAAATACAATTAAAAATCCAGTTACTCAGCTACAGTAGTCACATTTCAAGTATTCAAAAGTCATGTGGCTAGTGGCTACCATACTAGCGCAGATAAAGTGCATTTCCAGCATCGCAGAAAATTCTACTGGACAGCGCTTTTTCTTTTTTTTTAAGCCACTAGGCTCCACTACCGAAAATAATGAACACGCGTTATTACTCTTTCCAAATAGGGTGAGGAAAAAAATATTACAAGAAACACCAATTTAAAAACCTGCAACGCATAGTGAGGTTTCTCTCATAACTCACTCAACAGTCATTTTGAAGGCGGAGACTGTACTCTTTCTCAGACTTCCAGGACCCAGGTAACTTCCATAGCAGTGGGTGTTCAAGGTCCAAGACCTACCCCTGCCCCCGAGAATGAATTGCTCAAAGTAGTGGACAGCTGTATACACATGGCGGCCAAGCTTCAGGTCGGTGGCCCTCAGCCCGACGCCAGCCAAAGTCTCGCGCGTCCCTCGCAGGATAGCCAGCGCCCAACGCCTGCTCGCATTTCGAAGCCGCCTGTTTCCGCGCGCAGAAGCACGCGCGCCGGCCCGCAGGCCCGAGAGGCTCTCCGCAGCCAATGGGGTGGAGCGCCACGCGCCGGGGGCGGGGCCGTGACGCGCGCACCTCGTGATCCCGCTCCCAGCCTGCGCCGGAGGAAGCCGGAAGCGGCGGAGGTCGGCGGCGCTGTCTGGGAGGGGAGAGGCGGTGGTGAGCGTCCCGGGGTTTGTGAACCCGGTGATGGACCCAGAAGGAAGAGTCGCGCGGCGGCGTTCGTCGCTGCTGCCGTGGCTGTTGCTCCTGTGGTCAAGGTTGGCTCTGGGCACGCTCTCCTTCGGCAGCAGCCCCCACGGGGTTCTCCACGACCTCCTGTCGGAGCAGCAGTTGCTGGAGGTGGAGGACTTGTCCCTGTCTCTGCTGCAGGGCGGAGGGCTGGGGCCGCAGTCGCTGCCCCCGGACCTGCCGAATCTGGACCCCGAGTGTCGGGAGCTGCTGCTGGATTTCGCGAACAGCAGCGCTGAGCTGACCGGGTGTATAGTACGCAGCGCCCGGCCCGTGCGACTCTGTCAGACCTGCTATCCTCTCTTCCAACAGGTCGCCAACAAGATGGACAACATCAGCCGAGCCGTGGGGGTGGGTAGAAGAGCACACCAGGGACCTCTGGCGTGGAGGGTTGGGAAAGGAAGAGGATGTAGATGGTGGTCAGCGCTGGGGAATCTCAGTTTCCCCACCTGTAAGAAAAGGGACTTGGATTGGGTTTGTGGAGTCTGGGGCATCAGAAAAATGGGTGGCGTTATGGGGCTTAGGATTTGGAATTTTGCCCCCGTGTCTGCTGTTGAGCATCCTCTTGGTACGTATTTGCGGATAGATATGACTGGCTTTCTTGGGACTTCTGAACTCCTAATCCTACTTCTCTTTTCCTCTCCACCCTTCCGCCATAGCTTCCTCCCCATCTCCACCTGGAGTTTCTAGGAACAAGTTTTTCCTGAAACTCCAAGTGAAGTGGAGAAATTGTATTGTGTGGTAGTGGTTAGGGGCTTGAGTTTTGTAGCTAAAAGTTTCTAGATCCGCCAACTTCTAGCATTGTGAGCTTGGCTTAATAATCCTCTCAGAGCCTCGGATTCCTCCTCTGTAAAATGGAGAGAACCAGCTGCCTGATGTGGTTGTTAAAAAGGAATAAAAGAGTTACCATGTGGGAGTTCACCTTGGTGATTAAGATCAGTGTGCAGCCAGTCTACCAGGGGTCCAGTTCTACTCCACTTAAATGCGGGGCAAGTTACTCATATTCTCTGTGCCTGTTTTCTCATCTGTAAAACGGGAATAAAAGGAGCTCTTAGAAAATTAACACGTAGTAGTAGCTCTCAGTAAATGGGAGCTAACATTTCTAGGAAATGGTAAATCTCCGCCCCCCCCCCCAATTCTTGGTACCCTGAGAGCTTTTCTGGTCAGTGTTAGGTGCTGTGAAGAATTTAATCTAAAAAAAAAAGTCCCTTAAGGACCTTATAGGGTCTAGACTAGGAAAGGATTAGAATGGCAGGGCTGGTGGGAGTCACGAGGTGTGGGCTGAATATGTCTGGTAAAGGAAAAATATGAGGAATGATATTGGGACTGGAGAATGGGAAAGTTCCTCTTATGTTGAAGGAACAGTAAGTAGTTTCATTAAAATGTGGTTGGAATTATTTCATACTACCCTACCTACCAGTTGCTGTGGAGTCAATTCCAGTTTACAGTGATGTCAAGTGTGTCAGAATAGAGCTGTGCTCCATAGGGTTTCCGATGGCTGATTTTTAGGAAGTAGACCACCAGGCCTTTCTTTTGAGGCACCTTTGGGTAGAATTGAACCTCCAGCCTATTGGTTAGCAGCTGAGTGCATTTGCACCAACCAGGGACTCTGTAGTAGACATAGACAAATGTAAACTTGTATGTAGTTGATTACTGCTCTCGTCAGCCTGATATTACTTAATGTAAATCAAATTTTTAAAAATATAAATGGGGGATTTAGTTACATTAAATAAATTCTTTGGTCAGTCTTTCTGTAAAAAGCAAGTTTTCGAGGTAATTGTTTAAATAAATTTAGGTTTACATGCACTATTTTCAGGCATACTTCTATTGGGTATGGCAGAGGATATCTATGTCTGTATATACCTTGCTATGATTTTAAAGGAAAGTGCCCAAGACTTGTCCCTGTCAACTGCAGCAGGATATGATACGGCATCATGTTATGAGCAGTTAGGTGAGTTGTTTTTAAGATACCATTTACTCTTATTTTTTTCCTGGTTCAGTGTTTTTTTTTTTTTTTTTTTTTAGATTGTGCTTTAGATGAAGGTTTACAGAACAAATTAGTTTCTTATTAAACAGTACACATATTGTTTTGTGACATTGGTTGCCAACCCCGTGACATGTCAATACTCTTCCCTTCTTGACCTTAGCTTCCCCATTTCCATTTGTCCAGCTTTCCTGTCCTCTCCTGCCTTCTTGTCCCTGTCCCTGGGCTGGTGTGCCCATTTAGTCTCATATACATGGTTAAGCTACGTGTATTATTATTTGTTTTATGGGCCTGTCTATCTTTGGCTGAAGGGTGAACCTCAGGAGTGACCTTAGTACTGAGTTAAAAAGGTGTTTGGGGGTCATGCTCTTGGGGTTTCTCCAGTCTCTGTCAGACCAGTAAGTCCGGTCTTTTTTTGTGAGTTAAGAGTTTTTGTTCTGCATTTTTCTCCAGCTCTGTCTGGGATCATCTGTCATGATCCCTGTCAGAGCAGTTGGTGGTGATAGCTGGGCACCATCTAGTTGTGCTGGACTCAGCTGGTGGAGGCTGTGGTAGTTGTGTCCCTTTAGTCCTTTGGAGTAATCTTTCCCTTGTGCCTTTGGTTTTCTTCATTCTCCCTTGCTCCAGATGGCGTGGGACCAGTGGAGCATCTTAGGTTTTAAGACCCCAGATGCTACTCACCGAAGTAGGATGTAGAATATATTCTTTATAAACTGTGTTATGCCAGTTGAGCTAGATGTCCCCGAGACCATGGTCCCCAGCCCTCAGCCCAGTGATTTGGTTCCTTAGGGAGTTTAAGATGCCATTTACTTTGAAGAATAAGGGCTACTGTGGGCAGAATGGTTGTGAATCATGATGCAAGGCTTGGATCTCTTGAGACAGCATATGTTTTCCTTCTTTGTGTAGGTACTGCAGAATTTAGAATAGGTTAAAAAATTACTCCAGATTCTAGTGGCACAGCATTATAGACATCACCCAATCTGTGTATGTCGTTCCTTTTGAATTCTTTTATGCCCAGGGGAAGCTCCTTTGGAGGTTGTGGAAACTTCCTTCCTCTTCCTTTAGCCCTTCTTGCCCCTGGGCACCCAGCTCACCTTACTCTAAGGTGAAAAGTAGAGGGTAAAGAGATAAAAAGAGGCTAGAAGACCCTTCCTCCAATCTGCATTTCCCTCCCCAACTCATCCTAGAACCTGGTCTCTATTCCCCTCTTCTTCAGTAGAGCTGGATGTGGGTCATTAGCTTAAAATTATGATTTCTACAGTGCTGAGGTTCTTTATGGATATCATAGGCTTTTATGGACTGGTTTGGGAATTGAACTATCGTGTGATAATGAAGCTATGGAAAATGTATTCTCAGTTTCTTACAAGTGAACTTGAAGGAATCAGTTATTCTCAGGGGAGTTTATTTCTCAAGAGTGATGTATTTTCTTTGACTCACATAGACTCAGTCCTTTATTTAAATCCATTTAATTAGCAAGCACCTACTATTCTTGAATATTGGGCTTGTGAAAGGATATAGAAGAAGAGGGAGGATAAGACCCAGGCCTCACTCTATCAGTGTAGTTGGGGAAATAAGATAAACTTGTATTGAGAAAAGGAAAGAGTCATCAGTGTGAGTGTTATAAATTGTTCAGTTTAAGAGCAGAAGGGTGAGGAGATGCTGAGTTAACAGGGGAAACAGAGCAAGGTAGGGGTTAATCAGAGAAAACCTACAAGTTAAATTTTGAACAAGGCATCCTTTCTCACCTTTAGGGTGAATGAACATGGATTGAATGAAAGGAGAGGGGAGTATAATAAAGAGAACAAGATTCAAAGGAAGAAATTAGCAAGCTAATAGTCTTATCTGATGTTCTTATCACTTCCCCTTGGAATTACTGGGTCAAGGGTCAAGGACTACATAGAGTTTTATTATCTCAAGGTAAAGAATACAGTGATTTTGAAAACAATGGTAGAAATGACTAATTCCATCTTTGAGTCATACTTTCTTCTAGGTTAAGCTGATAGTGGCATGGTTTCATTGAACCATTCAGCATCATAAGAGTGGTTGTGAAGATGTTTTGGCCCCCAAATTCTGAATTGCTAAGCTCTAACTTAATGACACAGTGGCTGCAACAATGGCATAAAGCATAACAATTGTGAGGATGACGCAGGACCGGGCAGTGTTTTGTTCTGTTGTACATAAGGTCGCAATGAGTCGGAACCGACTCTAGGGCATGTGACAGCAACAACGTTATTCTACTTGGCTTGTTTAAAATTATATGAGAGTGTGTGTGTACACATACATGCCTCATTTATATTTGTGAGGGTGCTAGTGATTTGTGATATGTATCTGGTGAGTGTTCAACGTACTTCTAATTTAGACCAATAATTCTTAGGAATAGGGAGAAAATTGAAACAGCATAACATAATATGCTGTATCTTTTCATTAGAGATCAGAAAATGTAATACTTCTTATGCATTCATTAAAAAAATTATTGAGTACCTATTATGTGCAGGCTAGAGGTGGGTATTAGGGATACAGCTATGAATGAGCAGAGCTTGTGGGAAAACATACTAAACATATCATTATACAAGTAATTAGTAGATTGAGGTGTGGTAAGTATTGCAAAGAAAAAAAACCCAAGATGCTACCAAAGCATATAACAAGGATATTGATCTTGTCTAGATCTGGGGATAGGTAGAGTGGTCAGGGATTAAACCTGGCACCTAAAATTTGAGATGTCACCCTTCTCAAAAATTTTGGAGAATCCTCACTGTCTGACCCTCAAGGCTTTTCACAACTTTGCCCTGACTCCTCCCTCTAATGCCCCTGCTTCCATAGAGAAACTTTTTACTCTAGCTATATTGGCCTACTGAATATTTTCTGAATTTCACATAATCATTTCCACTTTCACCCCATGATCACTTATTCCCCCATTTTAGAATCCCCTTCCCTTCCTCAAATCCCTCTTCCTCCATGAGCTCTTTCCTAATTTCCCCCAACCACACTGACATTTCCCTGTATTGACCTAGTCCATGCATTGAACGTTCATATAGGCCATACTGTATTGCTTTTAAAAACAGCCAGTCATCTACTTATGAAGATTTAACTTCAGTAACTGATAATGCTTAGCCAACTATACCTGTTTAGCACACTTTACATTGGCAGCAAGGTAGCTAGGTGGAATGGCATATATATTGAGCACTTACTATGTGCCAGGCATTGTGCTAGGTGATTAACATACTAAATACAGTAACCCCGGGCTCATGATTATGAAACTGAAGCTCAGAGAGGTTAGGACAGCTGCCTAAGATCACCAGTTTGTCACCCACTCTTGTCTGACTCCCTAGGCCAGGCTCTATTTAAGAAGTAATAACAGTAATTGCTCTGAAAGCAATTCCAAGAAGGGAGCATTAAAAAGGTTTTGTTCAATTGACTATTTTAAAAGCAGGCATTCATTTGGATACATCTTGTAATGTTTATAAAGTAAAACAGAAATACGTCTCAGAAAGACAGCAAGAAGTTATGTGTCTCATGATAGAAGTACACAGCTTTACTTACGAAGTTGACTTATTTTAAAAAAAAATCAAACCTGAATCTGATCAAGTCTTTAGATATAACTACCAAATCACACGAAGTATAGTGGACAGAGAAACATGTTAAACAACATCATAGGAAAGCAATCAGCAAAATCCAGACTGTGAGAAACTCTATAGTACTAACCGTCTTCATCAGTAGATAAATTGTAAGGGAAAAAAAACTGCCAGAAGCTACCAAGACCTTCACCGGACTGAGTCCAGTACAGCTAGATGGTGCCTGGCTACCACCGCTGACTGCTCTGACTAGGATCACAACAGAGGGTTCTGGACAGAGCTGGAGAAGGATGTAGAGCATAATTCTAAC